TGCTTGCTAATAACTGACAGACATTTTACTTTATTATTAAATTTTAAAAAAATTAAAAGACGAATGTATGATAATGTTTTTCATAAATTTTCCCTTTAAATTCTATTTTTTCAATTTTCTTATTTTATAATAAATAATTTTATTTGATTAAAATTAAGCCAACATATTATTGAGAATGAAATAGGTTATGAGATGAGTTTATAAAACTGCACAGTAAAGAGAAAGCAATTACAAAGTTAAAGCAAACTAGCTTTTCCAGATTCCTCTATTCATCGTGATAGATCAGGACAATCCGGTTATCTTATTTTTCATCATGAATGATCAGATCAATATCTGATAGCGGTTAGTCATCGTAAAGTATTTCCGTTGAAATGACGCAAATCGTTGTTTACAGTGAAAAATTTTGATGGTTCGTAGTTAAATTAAATTGTAGATTTTTATTGCACAATAAATGGTATTAAATTTGAAAATTGAAAGCGTAAAAATATTTCTTTGTTTGTTCCGAAAAATTCTGAATTTTTTCTTCGTTACATTCCACAAAGATTTTGATTTCATACTTTTAATTACTTTTTTAACTTTTATCCTTTCAACAACTTTTTTAATTTTTTGATTTGTTTGTATTGGTAAATAATTATTGCCTAAAACAATTCCTCAACTACTTTAATAGTACATAATGACCTCTTAAGTTTTAGTCCTTAACTTTTAAACTATTTGCTGAGTAATTGGTAAAAAAATGCTTTTAAAATGGAATTCGGAAGTTACTTGCAAAGCAACAGATATGACAATAAACAAATAAAATGAAAATTAAAATTAAATAAAAATGTTCAACATAATCAATGTTCAACTTATTTTTAAGAAATTAAATATCCTTTAATTGGAATGCCGCTTGAAGTGAAATTTGCATAATATTACTAAAAACCGTATTCAGAAAAAGAGTGAAAATAAGATAAGCAATTATTTTCAAGTGTCAAAACTTGGTCTCATTTAATAAAATTCTTTTATTCAAATTTACGAATAGAGGTATTTTATTCAGTCCAGTTTTCAAATTTCAAGAATTCCAATTAAGATTACTATCAGTTGTAAAGTTACTTCAAGCAACAGTTGAGCAAAGAATGTCCAACAGAACTTTTGCAATTTTGATCAACCAACAATTCTACTATTTTTAAATTTCAGTAATTTCATATTAGTTGATTTTGATCAACCGGTTACTGACGTGTTTAGTTATCGAGGTATTTAAAGCGTTGTGTCAATCCGTCTATCTGAAATTTCTGCAAGATACTCTTTTATTTATGCTTTAATATTTCAAATCAAGTTGTCATTCGTCTGAATCATAAATATCTGAATGAACATGTAAACCGTGAAATTCAGAAAAAATGGATCAGAAAAATAGTTTTTCTTCATTTTTTATTACTTCTAACTATCTCCAGTAGAATGTACATAATTCAGTTAAGTATCTACAAGTATTTACAAGTGGAAGATATCTACAAATGGAGGAAAGCAACACAAATAAATTTGCAAATACAATTGAAATTTCTAAAAGACAAAAAACAAAACGATAAGGAAAAGAGTAAATAAGCAATATTGTTGCAACAATTCTTTGATTCTAATTTAAATTTAAAACTTATGTATGAAAAATTAAAATTCGAACAACACATCCCATTGTGATGTGATAAAAATTAGAAACAATTTCAGTTAGACAATTTGATAAAAGAATAAGTCAAAGAAATATTTTTGGAAATTTAAAAAAGAAATCTTTTGAAAAATGTTTTCGCACGTTATTGGTATTGAAGAAGTTGTACCATCTAATATTGATATATGATAAAATAAGACACAAATAATTCAAGTATTTATTGCCTTCCAAAAATAAACGAGCGATTGTTAATTTCTACATTTTTGATCCTTTTTTTATTTTTAATCTCATCAATTGATAATATCTTACTTATTCTTTACTGATTAGTAATGAAATTTTAATGATTAGTAGAAATTGTTATTGTTTTAAATGATAATGAAATTATTCATTCTTTGATGAAAGTTTTGCATAGAAATGACAATGACTTCGTATTTGAATGTTTTCTTTTCTCCTTCTTTGCAAATGTTAATGTATGATATGGCATTCTTTAAGATTACAAATTAAAATTTAAAAAATCTTATGCTGTAATAAACAAAACCATTATTAACCATAAATTACTTTTGATTATTTTCAACAACAAAAAGTTTTTTTTGCTAATTAAATTAATTAGTAATATTAGGTAATATTTCTTTTTTTAAGCTAGAAAAAAGAAGGTAAAATAATTCTACGATAATTAGGAAATAGAAATTATCATAATATCGTATTAATCAATAAAATAATTTTTCGGAAAGTATAAATGAAAGATCAGAAAAAAACAAATCTTTTTTTTGCATTATTTTCAACAACAAAATGAATCATCTTTTTGGAACTTTTCATGATCATAAACAATTTGAATGACATTTGACCTAAACTCATTTAAAAAATGATAGCAATTCCAAACAAAATTTCATTCTTCGTATGACAAGAAATATTTGACAAGAATTGAACAAACAAAGTGTAATTAATAATAAGAACAAATGGAAAAAAATGTATACGAATTGGATAAGATGAAAATAATAGTAAATAAGAAGGCATAATGATAAAACAAACATTAAGGCTTTTTTTGTTGATAATATTGAGTGAATTAAAATGTTTATCACTAAAAGATATTGATATATTATTCAGTGTTAATGCAACTTTTCATTAATCTTTCAAGAGAGGCTTATTGTTTCCAGCTATCAGCCTATTTAATTCAATTTATTTAATGCTAAAGAAAGTGTTAAATAATTGAAATGCTTAAATTGATCATTTTTTAAACTCAACATATCATCTATAATATTTTTTCAATTCAATTAAAATTTTCTGTGAGATTTCTAAATTATCTTATAATAGCCATTTTTCTAAATTGCGATGAAATTTGGTTTTATAGAAATTTCTGTGAAATCTAAATTTTTTAAAATCTAAATTAGTAATTTCTAATTTTTAAAATTTAAATTAGTGGGAATTAGAAAAGCGAAATTAAAAGCTAAAATTTGCTTTTTCAGGAGGAAGCAAATTTCTTCCTTTTTTCTCCTATCAAAATGAAACAAAATGAAAAGTAAAAGTAAAATAGCAAAGGGAAATTGTTTTACCATCGTCAAAGGTCCAAAAATAAAAGGAAATGGTGATTTCGTCCTTACTCAGAATAAAATTGTCAACTTCCATTAAATTACAGGTTTCGATGACAAGGAATTTTTTGATTGACATTTTTTTTCCTCGCGTCACATCACACTTTTCATTTGTTATTATTCCTACTACTGTTGTTTTTCTTTGTTGTTGTTGTTGTTGTTGTTGTTACTCTTATTGTTATTGTTGCTGTTATTGTTATTAATATTGTTATTGTTATTTATTGCTATTGATGTTTATTGCAATTCCTTCTTGCTTATTTGATATTTTTACTTGAAATGAAATAATGAAAAAAATTGAATTAGTATTTGTAAAACTGGAATGAACATATCAATAGGTCTCTGTATGTCTGTTATATGTATATATATGCATGGATATCTCGAAATTTTCAACATATGAAGCATTACTAAAAATCAATCTGGTAGTTTCTGCTGACTGATTGTTTGTAGTAAATATGGAAGATACTGAGGAAAAATAAAAAACTTTTTTCATCATTTTATCAAACGTTTCGAAAATTTGATCACATCCTTCTTTTCTCCCGAATTTATTTTTTTCTAATGCGATAGTACGGCTGGGTCACCCAATAGCAATAGAAACGTACTACACGACAATCATGGCTATCGAAATTTTCCCTTCGGGCTATTCCGATATTTGCAAAATGGAAAACTTGCATCAACGGCTGTTCAACAACACAATTGTACTTATTAACAACGACGAATTCTTAAATTTCAACAATTCAAATCTATCTAATGAAACTCTTAGATTTGGGTGGAATAAAAAAAATGATAAATGAATAAAAGAGAGAAAGTATGTCACAAATCGATGTTAACACAGAAATCTAGAATCTACGCTTAAAACGTGAATCGATGTAAACATAGAGAGAATCTACGCTGAAAGTGAATGCTTAGCATGAATTCCGCAATAGATGAAAAAAAAGAAGGAAAATGACTGAATTGTTATAAGTTACAATGAATAATCGATAAAAGTTTTCTATCTCTTACCTTTAATGTTTCTTCTTTTCACTGAATTATTTTATTATAAAAGAATTTAGAAGCTGTCAAAAAGAAAAAATTACATTGAATTCTATTAATAAAAAAAGGAGAGAAAATTTCATTGATATTACAATGTATGTATGTGTACTTTTCAACATTAAATGCAAGATTTCAATGATTTCTTTCAATTTAATCCATTTCTTTTAATATTATGAAAATGAAATAGTATTTGAAAAAGAAAAAAATTATCCTAACTTTATCAAAATGTCATCAATAATTCAATTATGTATGATTTTTTTCTCTCCTTCTTTCATGTATTTGTAAAGAAAAAGCGCAATCATCCAATAATACATTTGCGCTTCAATTGTTCCTAATTAAAAATAATTCTTCCCCATTTTCTGACATAAATTTAATTTATATGATAATTTTTGATAAAATTAGTGGTTAAATAAGCTTATTATATCTGAATGATAATTTAGAATATCATAGTTTTAGTGATAGGATATTCATATAAAATTTCATATATTTATAAATTTATTCCTATTACTACCAGTTTTTTTTGTTCTCCGACATAAACATTTAAAATAATATATCAATTTTCAGTTTTATAGATAATGATTTCCAATGAAGATATCGGTTTTGACCTTAGAAGATCTGTGAAATTCTTCTTAATTTGAATCTCTCTCTTCATAAGCCTTGATGTCAATAAAAAATTTCTCTTTCTCTTTTTATTCAAAATTTATTACATTATTTTCAACATTATATTCCTGAATGATTTTATAGAAACTGATGAATCACAGTCGATAGCCATCCTTTTTCCGGTATACTTCCCGACCTCTCACTAGCACACGTTCCGGTTTAAGGCTATGCTTTTTATTTGATTCATCTTCTTTATTCTTTATTTGTAAGTTTATATTTAGTTGAATCTGAAAAATGAATTTAAAATATTACAAAAATTTCCAAACCGAACTGCCACTTTTCCCATTCCTTTTGTTTCTTTTTTCTGACACATACATTTTATTTCTAATATATATCAACACTTTATTTTCATCATTTTTTATTTTAATTAAAATTTCACATAAATCATCAATTTCTTTAAATTCATACAAATGTAACAAAGCTGTCAGCTGCAAGTTTTTGGTTGAAATAAATTACAAAATCTACAATTTGTTGAATTTTATGAAGCATATCGCTTTGCCATAAAAATTTATAGATAGGGCTCACGGTGAAATTTTTCTCGTCTTTCGATTGAATTATTACAGAAGTTCCTTTTGTCTTGTTAGCCTGAAATTTTCTGTTAAAGACATTTCATTTGCCGAAGATTCAAACAATAGAGATGAGTATTCCAATATTCAAATTACTAATGGCAAACATATGTCATTAGCTAATTTGGAACATTATTAATTTTCAATTTCAAGGTGTTGCATGCCATTTACAATCACCTATTTATTTCCAATTGATAATGTTAATCTGATCTCAAAACGAGTAAAATCTCGATTGTTATCGCAGATAAGGAGAAAGTTCAGATAAGAATTAAAAATATTATCAAATTTCATGGTTGTCTTATTTTTTTACATTCTTTTCAATTTTAAAGTACTTTAAACTAATAATGTTAAAAGAATGTTTAAAAAAGTATGACTGATTATTCTACTAAATAAAATAATATTGAAACTTAAGCGTATCTCTTACACTACCTCAGATTCATTTTTAGCCAATTTACTGGAAACTGATGAGATCTTTTTCACTCTGAAATCAGAAAAAGAAAGTTCTTAAAACAATAATTCTAGAAGAATGTGAAATTAACTTTACATCATAAAATAAAAAAACAAATTTGAATTATTGCTAGATTATCGTCAAATATTTTGATTTCAGATTAAACAAAACCAATAATGCATAACTTACACAATTGGCTTCGATGCAGATGTTTGTCGCACCGTTGGCGCATTTGAACCAAATGATTTGTACATATCAGTAGATATGGGAATGACGATATGTGTCGCTGGAAATAAGAAAGAAAAAAAGTAATGACGATATGTGTCGCTGGAAATCAAGGAAACGTAAATGTTGCAATGATTGAATTTCTTTGCATCATACACATCGTAGCTAACGTTTGTTATACTATCGCTAAAACACTTAACGTAAGGAAATACAAAGGATTCTGTTTTCTGCTGCTCAAACAGAATTATCGAAAATATACTGAAATTAATACTTTGCACTTGAGGTTCCGATTTTGATTGATCAATGAACCCTGAAAGTCATATTTCCTTAACTTTGCAAAAAACAACTACTTCTTCCTTTTGTGAAATGAAATGTTAGAAAATTTGAATTTACGTATCAAGCCGTAGTTAACAATGATTCCAAATGAAATCTAGTTATGATTTATGTTTTAGAAGAATAATATAAGGCATTACTAAAGAATTTACCAGGTTTGGCATGACATATGCCCTATTGAACAAGTCATATCATCCGACGTAAATGTAAAAGACAACATACAGCGAAATGTTTAAATTATTTTACAAGAATTCCATCATACCAGATTTCATTGATCGATCTTGCAGCGGCAATCTTCCGAAATGTGATCGAATTAATCTTGGTGTTTTTTTAGATGCTATGTGCGCATCTTTGCGAACCTCTGATAATGATTCCTATAATATTATTAAGTAAAAATCCTGCAATATCATATAATATCATCATATTCCTTCATTCTCTAATTTAAATTCAGTGATCAAATATAGCTTCGTAATCTTAATTTAAATCATTTAACAAATCATGTAAATAGCGTTTTCTTGGTGGTAATAAAACTTTATCGCTTTATCTCATACTCTGTTATTTTTTATCGCCATACTTTTCGATGTGATCCTTTTTATCTAATTTCAAAATATTTGGTCGAATATAATCTGAGAATTCGAACAGCTTTAAAATTTACAAAAAAAAAATTAAAATTTTATTCTTAAAAAACTTTATTAAAAATTTTATTCTATTAAAAAATTTTTTTTAAAAATTTTATTAAAAATTTTATTCTAAAATATCCTGTATATAAATTTTTGCTTGATTTAAGTTACTAACTTCATATTTGCTAAATATCAGCTGCTATGTATACAATACTAAATAATCAATATTAAAAATAACACCTTCTTGTTGTTTTTCAAACTTAAAACACAATTTTTTCCCAATGGTATATATGAAATGTTGCACTTCGATGAAGACAGTGAATGTAAAAATTTGAATGAATTGTAGTGAAATGAAAAGCTAATAAAAATGAGTAAAACGTACTTCTGATACGGTGGATGGTTGTGAAATGATACTTTCTTCATCACGATCTGTTGAGTGTTGTTTAGGTGAACAAGATATTATACTTGGTGTGGGTGGTAATAATCCGAATTTTCGTTTATGTGATAATGCACGACTTTTTTCGGAAACGGTGGAGCTCTTCTTTTCCGATTCTAACAGTACATCTGCCGGGCAGGACCTTAGATCTTTCGGTTCTTGTTCGCTTATGAAACAACTGCTATTTAGCTGTTGCAAACTTGAAAGCGTTTTTCGTGATCGAATTTCTTCTGAACGGGTATCAAAGGATTTTCTGGGAACCTCAGTGAAATGCTGTTTCTTATCTTCCTTTGAGCTTTTGTTAAACTTCGGTATTTCTCGAGATAATTCATGTGCCGTTAACACTTGCTCACTAGTTTCCGGAAAACATGAATTCATTGCTATTGCTGCTTGGTTCGAAATGTTACGAGTAGTTGGAATTCTAGGTGATTTTTTGTTATCATTTTTCTCCGTACTACCAGAAAGTCGCAATGATTTATCGTGTTTGAAAGGTTGATCATGAGTCGATGGTATTTCCCGCGTACTTCTCGAAATACTGGAAATTTAACAATTATTGAGAATTCCTGTACTGTTTCTTGCAGTATGCATATTTTAATAACATTCGGATGTATAATTATTGCAGCATAATTATTTTCCGAATTAGATTTAAGGTACTGATGCATATTATTCAATTCAGAATATCATTTGAACTCGAATGAGTTATTTGCTTAGAATCTCACCTCATATTCGTACAAAATTATAAACACTTAACAATTTAAGGCTGCCAAAGCGAAATTTGGAATTTAAAACGCTTCAATTTTAACAAAAGAATTTCACATACTTCCTTTCGTCTACCACAGAATGCCTCGAGGAAGACAATCCTATAAAATATGAAAAATTGAAAATGAATAAGTTTAAATATTGATAAAAGCTTTTAATCATAAGTTTTATATATTTCTTGAACTAAAATGATTGGATTAATGGTAGCCATTTCACGTGTTTCACTTATCATCAAATAAATAAAATAACCGATCATTTTTAAGTATTCCGTTATGTTAACACATTTGTATCCATAACCACGGGAGTTAATATGTATGTGAATCAATTTGGTTATGAAGCGAAGTTATATAAAGATAAGATAACCTTTCGGAAGTGCTGCAGAAAGTAAATCAGGAATAAAGTTATCCTTTTTCTTTTCTATCGGTGAGTGTGGCGTTAAGGGGTATACCGGTGGTGAATAAATAGGCCGAAATTGGGTAGGCGTACCAGTCGTGAGATTGAAAGGGCTATGATGAATTCGTTGAATTTTTGAATTTGGATCCATTCTTTCATTCGGTAGTGGCTTCTTTTTCAGAAAAACATATTCTTTTGATTGCTTCCGCTCATCTTTTATTGATCCGGCTGTTAGAAATTTAACGATTAGAATAAATGGCTTCCGTTGGTGTTAAAAGTCTTCATTGTTAAAAGAAAATTTAGAGAATTGATTTTTATATTTCTCTTCGAAAAAATGAAAAAAAATCTTTATCAAAATTCTCAACCTCATAGTAATACTAAATTTTAAAATAACGATATATTGTCTTTATTTTCGAAATTTTCATAATCTTAATGGATGTTTTCTTTAAAATGAAAGAAGAGAAGTGGATACCATTATTATTTAATCGATTATTTTTCACTAACGCATTATTAACTAAATTATCATTGTTGAAATTTCAATAACTAACAATATTTAAATCCTTTCGGAATTTTCATATATTCCGTACTAATCGATTTTCCTGTGCGTAACGTATCAGAATGAGTTCCTGAAGAGCTCGAATTGCTTAAATTGCTCAAAGAATGAGCTCAAATTTTTGCTCATAATGAATTTTCGTAATCTTCCGTGGTATTTGATGTGTATTAGCACAATGAAAATGATTTCTAAATTGGAATTTATAAAGGAAAATTAGAAAAAATCTGACGTAAAGCATAATCTTTAGCTTCATGATTTTGCAATTTTGAAATCCCATGTAACGGACGACAGGTGCGTAATTCGGCATTTATGAAACTTTCGGTAAGGGATTTACTAACTGAAATTGTTTCTTTACAGCAAATATTTTCTTACCTAGTTAATTAATTACTTCGTCCTTATTTTAGGTATAAGAGTCTGTAGAGAAGAGTAAATTGTGGTTTGAAAAATAAAGAAAAAAGAAAAATACGCTTTTCAGTATGATATCATTTATAACAACTATCAAAAAATAATAAAAATGATAATCAATAAAGACAAAGTGATAATTCTCACCTTTTGACCTCATTCAAAAGCTTAAGCTATTAAACTTGGAATTTTTCCTAATTTTCAATGTTAATAGATTGCTATATTAAAAATTAATAAGATACAAAATTCGTCTTAATTAAAACCTTTAATCAAATGATTAGTTTGGTTACATATTACTACAATTTTGACAGTTAGCAATCTAACCTTTTAATTTACGATGCTTGGTTCTTTTTGGAATTTTGCTTGCTTTAGGCCTGCTAAATTTTTAATTTAAATAAACTTTTTATTTTTGACACTTTCTTTGCCGAATACAATCACTTATTTCATTTCCTTTATTCGTCTGATGAAATTAATGTTGCCGTGGGTAACGTTACCGGATATTCGGATATTCGAGACCTACAGTACTAATTCAGCAGATTTACTCGACTGCTTAATTTGACCTTCGATTAATATCAGTATTGATGCTCCACTTAAGCTGATACACAATTTAAACTATTTTCGATCGAAGTAAAACTTTCAGAAATTTCATTACTTTGAAAAAGCAACTAAAAAAACTAAGTGAAATAAGACCATTTAGAGCTTAAATCATACTCATTAGCCGATGACGAACGTCGAATAACCTGGAAATTGTCAAATGTTTTTACTATGCCACGACCTGAAAGAAAAACATTCAACGATTCACTTTTTAGCAGCGCAAATACTAATTTTCTAATTACAATTAAAATTTAATTACTGCTATTTTTTAACCAGTTTTATTATTACTAGGAGCAATAAAATGAGATAGTCTTTAATGATGATATATTTCAAGAGATCAATCTTGCATGAGATTGATCTATTATTGATTAATCATTCTGATTTGATCGAATAGTCTGTTACATGACTGAAATGTCCGAATTGTTTGTTTCAAAAATTGTCTTTTTTTTCTTTCAAACAACAGTATATGTAAAAGATTACCAGTATTAATTATCTCAGAAGAGCTTAGAGCTGTTCTTAAGCTTCTTTCTGTTTTGCTATTTTCATCTCTTTTATAAACCGATTTCGCTGGTGGAAGAAATGTTGGTTCTGCTGTATGAAGGAATGTCGATTCGGCTGAATTGCTACTCAATACTGTAAAGTCTGTCCTTATCGGTGGATCTTGTAGGACCAACATTTTTCGCTTGTGGGCGATACTTGGAGCTCTAAAATTTCTACCTATCATTATTTGTTAAAAGATCAATGTCTATTTTGTAGACCAACAACACCATTTAAAAAGTAGTCTATGTTTTTTCTTCAAATTTTATTTCACTCAAGAATCTTATATAACAATAACCAATTTTGAAATTTTTAATTCAATTCTTTCATCGTTTTCCATTCTGACTTTTTATTTTGAAATCTGACAACTGAGAACCAAAAGGATGAAAATATTGATAATACCGTCAAAATTCAAACTTGCAAACATAGAAAATTGTATTTAGTGTTACAATCACTCAAACGATAAGTACAAATAAACATTGATATCATCGATATGTTTAATTATTGGAGTTAAATAAAGTTGAAGAAATTATTTCTGCATTCAATTTATAAAAATTATTTAAATTGCTAGTTTTTTTCTTTCCTTTCATAATCCCAAAAGATCGGAAAGAGAAAGACTTTGAACACTAACGCGGATTTAGTAACACTGCTTGCAGTACGAATGGTTTTATCAGTGACATAATTTCTTTCCTCGTTTAATGAAAAGTCTTGTAGCTGTAAAATATATTAATTAATTACAACGGGTAATTTTTGATTCTACTACTTATCTCTTGAGAAATAGTTGTTTGTTTGTTTATACCCAGTAATTCTAAATAAAATTTGAGAGAATTCTACGAAATAATTTTTGTTTTGCTGCACTGTAATGACGACAAGTTTTCGGTACTCAATAATCCCAGGAGCTTTGATAATGGAATTATCAATTCCAAATTAAACAGCTTCTAAAAAAATAAAAACGGCTGGAACGTCTATTTTATCTGTAGCAATAATACTAATTGAGAATGTATTTTACGTCTAACAATTATAATGAAATATAATTAGTGATGATGGCTATGTTATGAATGATAAGATAGGTTTAATAAAATGATATGATTCGCATAATAATTCGTACCTGTCTTCTGAAGGAAGGTTTGATTTCAACTAAACGTTTGATAAGCATCACATTATAGCCAACAAGGATGTCTTCCTGATATTTGATTGGTATTTGTTCTTTTTCACTCTTCGGTAACACTGATACCTTTCGAAGAAACGGTATAATCGTCTGCAAAAACTTTCATTCGATTACTAAATAAATGAAGTTCGAATATAGACTGAAAAGACAAGAAGGTGGAGAAATTTAGATGGAGAAGTAAAAGTTTAAATCTACATTATATCCAGTTAATCATAAACAAGTTAATATAGAGAATAAGAAGTCGAATAGAAACCTTAATATATTTTAGATCTAAGTAAGTCACCAATGAGGTTTAAGACAAATATTCGTGCTTATTAAGCTTCTATTAGCTTCAAAATAATTTAAAACGGTAACGAACAATTTCAGGTTTTGAAGTACTTCCATCGGCACGGAGTTCAATTTCTTCATAAATTTTATAACTGCCACTAATATCATGCAGTGTGTTTTGGAATGCTGTAATTACTAATGGCCCGATCAAACTGAATACAGGTGTTCTAAGAATGGTAGCTTCCGATTTTGACTTTCGACTTGGTTTTACCTCTTCTGAAAGATATTTCATTCTCTCAAAATTTATATCATCTAATAGGGAGATTGAATTATTTTGTTTAACTTGTAAGTACTTCAAAGTAGTTTAGAATAGTATTAATATATAGATTTTAGTCGGAAATAAATCTTGCTCGACCTATTGAAAGTAGCTTAGAAAGACAGCTGTTAAATGATTAGATTCAAATCGCTTCTTTAAATGAAAATCTTGTTTCCTCTCGGATAGGAATTGCTACAGGTAGTTGATAAGGTAAGAAATGAGAAACGAACGATTTTCTTGGACTAATCCACCACCACCAAATTTTACCACTTCTTTAGCATTCAGAGAAGGTTGCAATTTGATTTTCGATCGATCTATTTCGATTTTTCGATCAATTCGTACATAATCTTGGCCAACCCGAACCGATTGTACTGTTATTGGAACATTTTTCGTAGCCTAAATCAGAGAAATTTCTGGATATATGTTGAGACAAGTGTAAAGGTAATATAAATTAAAAATAAAGTTAAACTTTCCACGATTCTAACATATCATTATCTTTCATTTATCTTTTTAAAATCAACGAAGTTATACGAGTTATATCCGAGACGGCAACTCAATAGTTCCTGATCATATACCTTATCCACCACTAAAAAATACGAAATCATTTAAATCGTTCCATAATTACGACCATAATTATGATTAATCTAATACATATAATTTCTAATACAATTAGTTACATTCAGTGCTTGATATGCAAGAAGTGTCTAAAGTAATGATGAAATTTACTGTAGGAAGAGACTTCAGGATTTTAGGCCTTATACTAATCAATTCCTTGCTCGGATATTTTACCCCTGTACCGTACAACTCCAGTATTTCATCAATGAATAATTTATTCATTGATCGTCCATCAATTTTTTGTATTGTTTGAACTCTTACTGGGCCTGCAATTGAATCAACCATATCATTAGTAAACTTATTCCAATAAAGTTAATCAATATTATTTTGACATAATTATGATATTTTAAATAGGCCATTATAACTGGGAATATAAAAATAGAAAAAGAAAAAACGATGAAAAAACATTTTTTTAGATTTTATAATCTAATTGTTATGGATAAATTAATGAATATTTTGTAAAAAATTACGTAAATTTTGCAAAAATATTAGTTAAAGTTAATTTTACTTAACAAAATAATCTTACCAATGATAAATACGTGAGGTGCAACGGTGGATGATGAAGTTGTCTGTGGTTCGATATTTCGTGGAATCTACAAGTAATAATGTTTATTATCATTATATCAATCATTATACTTATTACATTTTCTCATTATACATCACCTTGTACTTAAACTTAGATTTATTAAATTCTATTCATTATTGCTAACGAAGAGGAATTGGATGAAGTAAATTATACTTTTAAGCCCTGCACTGAATGCCGCATAAATTGCTGATTTGTTTGTAATATCGAATCTAAAATCGTTTAAAATTATTCCCGATATTGTATAAACTGAAATAGATAACGAACTTTGAGTATGAATATTACTATGGATACTAATGGCATTGGGAAAAATTGAGGGAAATTCGAAATGAATTTTTTTAAATAGCTTATTACCAATGTTGGATTGAAAAATTAACTGCTAAAATTTTTTACCAGCACTAAAACCACGAATGATAGAAGCTGCCGTTTTCTGAAGTTTTTGTGTTATTGGTGTAATTGACTCGACATTGATTCTGGAAGATGAAAAAACGAAATTTGAAAGTAAGAGATTTGTGAAAGATTTTCCCACAAAAACGCAATTTGAAATTAAGTGATTGAATTATGCAGCAAAGTCGAGAATTTACAGAATTACACAACTATCATCCGGCTGTGTAGCACAAAAGAGTACATGATGATGACATCGTGACATAATCAGTATATTCAAATTTTTAATTTAGCAATTTAAATCATTTAAATTTTTATATTCAATTAATTTTTCACTTTTTATATTCGTTTTTATTTGCGCAGATTTGATAACGGTACATATCTATCTTAAATCTAATAATTATAACTCTTTGATGAACATTGATAAATTACATTAAATAATTTTCAAACGAAAAAAATTCAAATATACCCTCGCGTATTATCATTTGGATATTTAAAAATTGTTAAATTATGTGGATTGTTCATCAATAATCTTAACATTCCTTCTATATTATCCATTGAATTACCCACCTAAATATATTTTTTTTTAAACGAAAATGAGGTTAATCATATGGACTTTGAATAAATTGTATATGAAATTACTTAGTGGAATGATTAAAAATTCTTAGTGTGAAGGTAAATGAGCAAGAGAAAAGTTGGAAGGAGAGGGAGAGAAAAGAGAGAAAAAAGGAAAACTTTATCTCTTATGAATTACTATCAACAATTACCTAAGATCATTGATACACTTGAGAAATTTTGAGCATTTCAACTCCTTTCTTTTTTTCTCTAGTTCCTCTAATTAATTGTTTACAATTATCGCAGAATCTTTAAAATTTTATAAAATTTGAAGAAATAATAATGCAGTATTCCCATCCACTCTATTCTCATCATCAATGAGATCAGATTATTTGAAGGGAATTGGTCAAACAAAATATGAAACACATCATCTTACAAGATAATCAGATGCAGTAAACGTATCCATTGCGGCAACAACCTGAGAACTTTGATTAAGGTTATCTTTCTTCTCCGAATATTTCTTCCCACTCATGCATGAAATGGAAATTACTTTATTAATACAATTACTGGAATGAAGTGGTTATCACTGAAATATTATGACTAGTGAAAAACCATCCAAAGCAACATTCTAGTTTAAATTTCGGAAAGTTAACAAAGACATCAAGTCATTAAAGCGCACTGCAAATTTTAATTGCAGTCTTTCCGTCAGATTCTTTATGGTTCACTCAATCAGCGAAAAGACTTGACACGCTTGAACAGAACAATTTCAACGAACTTTTGCACTTTAAAATGCCTAAAGCGAAAAAATGCTGGCTACCTAAATGATGCTATATTTTTCCGAATATCAACATTGCAATAAATGAGGAATCTGTTTACGATTAAATATGAAATGATCTTAGCTAATCCAATGCATCCTTTCCTTAACTCATATGACATGTGCCCTGTAGCTACACTTTATGCACTTCAAGGATTCATTTACTTCGCGTTCAACAGCTGGTGGAGCAATTCACAATCGGCCGCTTCAGTGAAAACCGACAGCAATGCACACAAGCAATGATAGACAATGAGGGATACACCAAGAATTGTTTGCCATTTATCGAAGTCAAATATACCATATGCTTAACATTAACGGACTAAGAAATTTGTTAATATGAATCAAGCAAACCTCCTCTCACTATAGGCACAAACTGTGATCTTTGTCACGATTTTTGGATGCGTACATACGAACGAACTTCTCAGCCAACGTGCAACCTGAACAATCCGGCATCTGAAACATTCCATATCAATCAGATCCTTCCCCATCTGCAGTGAGAGGTATACATCGATATTAGATTGCAAGCGATCACAGCAAGCCTTACACTTCTTGAATATTAACTTTTCTCTAGAGGGTTCGGGATTACGTCAACCCAGCCTTTGGGAAACGTGCCAAAGGAAGCGAAAATTCCCTCCTCCACGCATACACACATACACACAAGCGAATTAATACAATTTTGGAAGATTCTAAAATCAGACATAAGAGTTCTGCACTTAGAAAATTTATAATTGTCTCTAACTGTATGCAGTGCTCAAAAACGAAACAGTATTCATCGAGAAATACAAAGAAAACACTTTACTGGACATTTTTTCTCAAAGCGTTAAAACGTATCGACCGATACAAAGAACATGAAGAAAAAAAAGATGAATTAAAACTTTTCGTTAAATCGTGGTAGTAACAGCACAAAAAAAACTGACATACAGACATGCACATGCGCATACATTCACACGCTTCACGCATCATTCCCTACATAGTGTCGATTGCAGTACTTTGTTGCAGACACCTGCCTATCAATTTTTCTATTTTTTATTTAGTTGAAGCATATCGTACAGAGTTAAAATGATCAAATCCTAATGGACAAAGAAATTTTATAAGGATCGACAAGGCGGGGATGAGGAAAGGAGAAAAACGTATCTGGACAAAAATATCCGCACGCACACATCGACACACACTGCGAGATACAAAAAAACAAATCATACACACGAGTTTTGCGCGATTCGCCTGAGATCATAAAAAAAAGGATGAAAGTGCCATATAGAAACTGGACCAAGATTGATCAAAAAATATTGGTACGGTTAATTACATGACTTTCCACAGAACATCATAACGTCAGCATGAGAAAGAAACAAAAGACACCGAAACTGCTTAGATGACAAGTTTCGTTTACTGTCGCTGTTGATGCTCGATGGAGCCTATTGCTTGTTTTTGTATGCAGCTATTTCCCTTTCGTACCTTTTCTTGTCCTCTTCCGCTCGCTTTTCCCACTGCTGAAATTTACATTTTGCGAATATTATTGTCAGTAAACTCCATTCCATCTAATTAAGAAATATTAAAAACTAACAGAATGTCATCGTCCTATAATTAAAAGCCAGACAATACATCATCATCCTTTACTTATTACCAAATGAATTCAAAGACTTAAAGCAGAGCAGTTCATTCTTTTGTGATGCAAGGTTGACACAAAAGGCAGTGGCTGCAGCATTCGAATATTTCATTAATTAGCCAAATGCAGAACTCATCAAGGCAAGAATTCGTGGCACACTTCCGACAAGAGTGAAAATGTTGCCAATTCATTTTAGGGCAAAAGTCATTTTCTTTAAAATTTCAACGTTATGAAATAGTTGCTTATTAAATTATTACTCACTTTAAATGACATCTCAACATTGTTCTAGACTTTATTTCTGTTACAGCAACAAGCATGCTGAGTATATTCGACTTTACCTGTATTCATTTATCTAAATCAAAATAGCTGGCAGTACAAATCTGACATCAGAAATGTATCACATTTCACCAAATCAAGTCTTGCCTTTACTAACTAGATATGCGTCAGGTTGCAGTAGTTCAAAGATGTCCAAGCAACATGCTTTCACTGCAATATTCTCCTGTTATTTTTACCAAAAATGGAAAACTAACTGATTTATCTGTCATCGCTGCCCATTCGATACCCGCAGCTTTAGCAACATCACCCACGCTCATGCCGGGCTTTTTGATCCGGTCACGATTCTCGTTCATCCAAATGAAGAAAGCCGACATTGCCCGTTTCGGGGCATTTGGATCTTTCATCTTTTTGACTGCTTTTGGTTTCTTACCATCAACAGCTGCTTTTCCCATATCTTCCGCTGCTTGAGATTATTATAGTCGTAATGAAACACCAGTTGAAACTGCAACAAATAATATTCCAAACAATATTTCAGCAGCAGTACACATTATGCGAAACGCCGGTAATGAGAGATGCACTGATCCCATAATAACGAAGGAGATGACGATCAACTAATTCGAATCACAATTACATTATCTCATACTCAAAAGATCTGACTTTCCCCCTAATTTCCCTCTAATGATTGAGCGCAATAAGGTATCGTGATATAGAATGGCTAAATAATGATGCAGACGGTTAATACAAAAACAATGCGTATAGAGCACAACATAGATGAGATCATGACGTGTACTATTTTGCTCACATAAATACGTATCACACCTCCGCAAAACGAACAAAACTAATCAAACAAAAAATGATATGAAAACATGGTACAGAATGATGTGTAACTGAAACCCATATCAACAACCTGATAACATATTTTATTGTGGTTCCAAATTTCAACTATCAAAATCGTAGGTTCTGTTCATTAAAAAAAGACTGTCATAATGTCAAATACTTTTTTACTCCATCTTTTCCTTGATATATCGTAAGCGAATAGTTTAGATCCGATCCATAACTGACCTAACAGAGAAAAAAAAAGATAAAAGCCTTGAAATGAAGTATAAAATAAAACGGGAAGTAAAGATAATATTAGAATAAGTAATAAAAATAGAACTAGTAGTAGTAGTAGTAGTGGTGGTAGTATTAGTGGTAAAAGTATGATAGTTGGCCTGGAATGAAATGGAATGGAATGGAATGGAATTGAATGGAATGGAATGAAATGAAATGAAATGAAATGAAATGAAATGAAATGAAATGAAATGAAATGAAATGAAATGAAATGAAATGGAATGGAATGGAATGGAATGGAATGGAATGGAATGGAATGGCATGGCATGGCATGGCATGGCATAACTTGCCACCACCACAATGTCATCCTATGAACGAATCGCACATAGCACACAGCTCATCTACTCGTCCATTCCCTCAGCCCTCTCTCGAGTCCCTCCATCCTCGTCCCCTCCCCTCCCCTCTCATTACGCCCGAAGACAACCCGACAATCCCAACAGCAGCAGAAGTGCCACTGACACATACATATCTTTCTTCAAAAAGGAAGGCAAAAATCGTTCGTACCTTCTCCCTTCACCCGCTTCCAGTATCGCTTACTCCACGCTCTCCCTCCTTCTCCTGCTCCATTCCTCAATAACAATGTGTATGTGTGTATATATATATGTGTGTGTGTGTATGTGTCTGTCTTCTTTGTTCGTCCCTGCTATGTTGGAGGATATTTTAATGCCCCAGCACTGCTGCTCCTTCACATATTACCCCCTGTTGCCACACAAATACGCACGTACATACACATACACATACACACACATATGCACACATACACACATACAAGATTTCATCGCCATAAACTACACATTACAAGTCCTAAAGCTATTTAACTAATATAATACACACCACCCACATACACACACATACACATACATGTGCTAAAGATACAGATTTGTATCAGTCCAAGAATCGAGTTGAAATACGTACAGACAACAGACCGGCACGTACACACTCATGCTCACTATATAGACTTTGATTCCATAGGAATTTCAATAGCTTTGAAAGGTGACAGACGGACAAATAGACACACGCTCCATTATACTGCATCGCAAATCCATCTTTTCAATGATTCGAAAGGAATTCAGACAGACGGACACATACACACATATATACACTTTGATATGTGATATAATCACCGACGGCATATACGGCATACACGTGTAGATGCAAACATACGATTATTGACACATAAATACAACTTCACATACCTATAACTTGCAACGCACATGCAAAAATAAGCATATGTACCTACATATGCAGCCACACACATATACACATACACAGACCCGCTCTCATATGACCCCACACATATGCACATCTCGTATATGCGCCACACTCATACATACCTCACAGACATATATACATACAAAGACATGAAGGAAGGACACGTGAAGGATGGATTGAAAAGAAGAGTAATGGAAGAGGGGGCAATAGGCGAAGAGGCTGGTTTTGGCGCGAAACAGCTGATTTATGGTAATGAGGGACCGTCGGAGTTAGAATGTTCTAGAATGATTATATTTGTGTTATATGAGGCAATGAAATAAGACGGTCCCTCGCTTATTATTGCTAATCACCGAGATATAAGCGCACGCATGTGAAGAGCTCTCGGAGTTATTCACGACTTGAAAAACTCAGCGGATAATAATGCGGAATTCACTGGAAATTCATTCTGGCAAGATCCGAAATTATTTAAAATTTTGATTACTTTTCTTTCTTTTGCAACAATTTCTGCAATGGTTACTTGCATTTACTTACACCGATCACTTTTACAATTACATGCAAATTGATGCAGGGATCAAAGTCACGCTGGGCTAAACGTCTCCAGTGTTAGTTATGGGATAAGTCTATTATGCATACCATAATAATTATACCCATTTGCTTTTAAAATAAACTGCTTATTAGCTTGAAGTTTATTTTATGCTCACCTGACCGCTCTTATCAACGGTGCGTAGAAATGTTTCCAGTACTTTAACATTGGCTGGTAGTAATATTTTATTCGAAGAATAGAAGAAACGAGAAGCGAAATAGGAGTAATCCGCGTTTTCCATGCTTTCCGCTTGCTAGAGTCCTTTTTTGGGTGCTAATTCATGTAACTAAGATCGAGCGCAAATCTCACCAGGAATTATTGTATTGATATTATTATGTATCATTTCCCGAGTCTACTAAGATATGGAAATCTCACAATAAATTTGAGTTAGCCGTCTGTTTCATCAAACTAGAAAATATTATTCACCGTAAAGAGAACGAAAACGGGAGGACTTAATCGTTAAATGAAATCTGCAAAATAAAGTGGTGCTTCAACTACACAGGAATGGAATTACAAATATATTTTATTCCAGCTGCTTCTTAATTCCTGCTTTATAATATACAAGTTATATTTTCTCCTGCACATGATTTTTAAGCGGATTTTATCAAGTAATGTGTGAAATATATTTTCATTTTAGGATTTATGTTGAATTTTTTTTATAGTACGGTGGTGAAGACGGATTTGCCACGGACGATATATGCAAATGGTCGGCTTGATAACGAAAAATGCACTGAAGATTTTCAACCGAACAAGGTTACCGTTGGGCAAGAGATGGATGATGGGGACAATTCAGTAGTTGGTAAAATATACATGAAGTATAAGCGGCAATCTTGGTTACGTGTGATACTTTTCACCGTTCTCCTTATTGCTACACCTCTCGGTTACTTTATTGCTGAGAAATCCTTCAATTACACTACAAATTACGGTTAATCTTAGGATTCGATTTTTTTTCTTTTTGAAGCTTTACTAGGTGCTGCATCTCTCAGAAGGATATTAGAATTTGAGATAGCGATGATGTGCCTGTCGTGGAATTGCTATGAAAAAGATAGTTGGTAGTTGATCATTCGTGGTAATCGATTCAACGGATAGCCTCATATCATCCGTTCAAAAACTTCACTTATTTAGTCAATTGTTAATATAATTTTGAAATGAACTTTCAATTAGGTTTTTGCTTCCAAATGATGGATGCTTCGCTAACTCCGTTAAATTCATCTTATCTCCAAGTGTACGTTTCTTAGGTTACCATTCATCGAGTGTCAATCTCCCACGGTACAGCCTAAGTCAGATGCGTGAATTTGCATTCAAAAATAGCATTGTCACCGACTATAAACCATCATTTTATGCCCGTTGGAATCTTTCATTCAACAAAATTCTGGATGATCCTGATAATGGGTACTTTCATATTTCCTACTTTTTTCATCTTGTTCATAAACATTTTTATTGCTGTCCAAACAATGAAAATTCAACTGTCAAGATTTTGAAAACTTGCATTAGCTTGCATTTGAAAATTTGTCAAGATTTTGAAAACTTACATTATCCATAGTGTGTGCTGCTTGTTCTGATTGATGATGGTTAAATAATCAGTTGTGCTGCCATATTACTGATGATTTTTCAGATTTAATATGAGCGATAACGATGTGATCGTGTTCTTGCATATTCAAAAAACGGCAGGCACAAGTTTTGAGCGATTTCTTGTCAAACATCTAAATGTTTCAGCACCTTGCATTTGTCATATGGGAAAGAAGCGATGCACTTGTGTAGGTCCCGGCCATAAAAAAAAGGTATCTTCTTTGTAGTGTTTCTGCAAAAATTTTCCAATTATAGTAAGCATGAGAATCCCTATTTAATGTTCTCGGTTTTTCATGATGTTTTCAATTTTCATACATTCCACAATTTAAAGTATCTTCAAGATATGGTTATTTTCTCGGTATTCTACCGGATGGGTTTGTGGACTACATGCCGATTTCACCGAATTGTTCGTCTCTGGTTGTGTGGATAATGCTTTGGATAAAAAAGAAGGTATATAAATGTAATTGCTTTGGATAAAGAATTTTTTTTTTTGATAATATTTTTAATAGATTTCTTGCAAATTATGATTAATTTGCAGGTTTTCATCGAAAGAGACGATATTTCTACACATCATTTTTTCGTGAACCAATATCACGCTTTATATCCGAATATCGTCATGTGGAACGGGGTGCTACATGGTCAGCAGCTAGGCATATATGTAATGGTCGCCCACCAACACCTGAACAATTACCAATGTGTTTTGACCCAGAGATAGGATGGGATGGCGTAACACTGGATGAATTTCTTGCCTGCCCATACAATCTTGCTTTTAATAGGTATATTTTTTGCCACTTTTTTGCGTAAACGTTAATTTCAATTGCAACAATGAAAAAATAATGGATTAAGCTTCATTTGCACAATTAGTGGTAATAAATTGGATAAGTTATATGTGTACTCATGGAATAGCTTTAATGTTCATCTTCCAGGATTGCCTGAAATGCAAAAACACTCGTAAATTATGTAGATGTAAGTAAAGCAGTTGAATTCGACATATCAATTCAAAACTATTTTACTTCTTGAATTGCAAATTTTTAATGTTGTAAACTTTTGATGTTGTCGGATGTAAAGGATTATAGTTATTATTAGCCTTTAATTGCAAACATTCAAGCCTGCATATATTGTAAGATCAAAAACCAGAACGATGTGATGGGAAAATATTGTTTACAACATATGGTGTCTGTTACGGATGCTAATAGACTTTGTGCAAACAATGGATTTGCGTATTTGTGCTTTCGCAGATGCTATACGCGTATTTAATTTATTGTAGGCAAACTCGAATGTTGGCTGATCTAACACTGATCAACTGTTACGATACTCGATCAACAGATGCGGCAACTAGGGATAAGATTATGTTGGAAAGTGCAAAAGTCAATCTAAAAAATTTGGCCTTTTTTGGTCTCAAGGAACATATGGCTGAAAGTCAATGGATGTTTGAACATCTTTTTCGCTTAAAGTGTGTTTCGAATAAAAGCTAGTGAAGGCATATGTTGAGAGATTTTACTTCATCAAGCAGACTTTTAAAATGAGATTAATGATTTCGTTTAATAATTATTTTGCAAAGTTTTACTATAAGAACTCTGGGAAACTGTAAGAAAACTCTAGGAAACTGCAAGAATTTCTTATTTATAGATAGATCCTTCTATGTCGTATGCGTTACTTCTAGGTTAAAAAGGCTATATGATTAGGTATATTATGTTACTTGTATGACGTAGTACTGAAATTTGTCACTTCTCACAGACATCAGTCTTTATCGAAAGATAGAAACGTAGTTGTCTCTTTTAACAGCTTTTAGCAAATCATTATTGATCTGTTTAGGTTTACAAGGAGTCTTGCTGAATGGACCAAAAGCAAATCGAACGATACTGAAATAACCCCACAACAAATGCAATTAATTAAGAATAAGAATAGATTAGATATCATGCTATATTCATATGCGAAAAAGCTGTTTTTGAAAAGGTTTGTGCATTAATATCTCGTCTGTATCCTGAAATTTTCGGTAGTGTTCTCTAAAGCCTTCTTGAATTTTGGGATCAGTATTTTCTTATTTCCTTTTTTAGGCTAAATCAGTTGCAGTTAAGCATTGATGACTATTCTCTGTTTCCACATAGAATAATCAATGATAGTTATATCGGTGATTTCAAAGCAGGTATGTGGTAAAACTGTTTTTATAGACATTCATTTAATGTTTACTGCAAGTGAGAGTTTTCTCAGCTTTTTAGATTGAATTTCTCAAATTTAGCTTTGGTTTCAGTTGATTAGGATTAGAATTTATGGAACACCGATTATTCATTATTTTTACAGTTGTAATACTGTGTCAAGTATGATCAAGATTGCATAATGAATGAGTCTGTTCAAGTTTCAGCACTGGTTTTTTAATGATTGTTAGGTTTCAATTACCTATTATTATGTTTTTTTTTAAGAATGATTTGTCATTATCAGTTTTTTGTAGTTAGCTTTGATCTGGGTTTCCATTCTGATCAAGATTTTCATTTAGTTAATCGAAACGAAGAAGAATAAAGCATTCGAGGGGAATATAACGTGTATACGTGTTTATCATGACCGTGACGTTGATAATTTGGTTTACTTTATCTTTTTATTGCCTATAAGCTCACTGCATTTCGTGATATATCTGCAGGAGAAGATTGCTCATTCTTTGGTTTTTTTGTTAGCTGTCACTATATTACTCGCTAACATGAAGCATTCTGACTTATCTTTAAACTGGTGTGCTATGAAACTGCCTTCTATATTATATGTACTGGCTTTAGGAAACTGGCGTTTAAGCTTTAATTGTTATTAAATTTATTTACTTTATTTATATTTGATTGTGCTTGAGCTTTTATGTGCAAAATTATTGTTTATAGAAATATTCTTCATTTCTAGTAAGGTGTTTGTATGTTTAGTCATATCAAAAGATTAGTTTAATCGAAAGTGAAGAATTCATCAGTGTTCTAACTATGGCTTTTATTAAGAATAAGTCGTAATCTTTTATGTATTATTTCTATACGACACGTTAATGCTTTGTTCGTATGATTTAAGTCCATGCATTTGTATTCAGCTATCAACCTGATCTCGTCTAGCTGCTTTGAATTCTGAACTATAGCAACAATGAGTTATAGTTGTTAATATTTGAAAATTATTGACAGCGAAACAAACTATCTGTGATATAATGAATAGAAAATTATCAAAATTTCAATGAAATATTCAATTTTTTTTCCCGTTTCGCTTATTTGTACGAATATGTAAATTTTGTGAAAAAAAATTTTGAAAAAAAAAATGTAAATTAAATCCAAAGATGAAAATTTTTTAATGAAGCTTTGGAAGAAAAATGTTCGATTAATTACAAACAAATACTGCGCTACCTTATTATCGCGTTGCAATATATGTTTTTTAGCTTAATCGTATTTCTTTTCATCGTGGTAGGTTAAGTTTTGTAGATCTGTAGGGATGTTGATTTCGATTTCGGAAATAACAGAAGAGGTTAAACACTGGATAGAAAATTATAGTATATCACAGCAATTCATCGTTTTCGTAAATTTGTAGAAATTATTTTCAGTAAAACACGGAAACAGAAGTGTCCTTGGTGAGTAATTTGTTCGTTAGCGTAGGGAAGGCCTAAGAAGAGGATAGGAATATGATTGGAAATATATGAGGATAAGAAATAAATCGGAGAACTTTCTGGTTCACAGTACTAGTGTAATAATTTTGTAATGTATCAAAACTAAACGGGAATTCTCCGTTGAATCTGGGCCTTATGAAAACTACACGGGATATAATGCTTGAACTTATTTCTAATACCACCCAAAATATATTTGATTGAAAAATGGAAGATAAATAGTTGTCGTATTTGCTTACATTTAATATGGCTGAAAAGGTGTTGTCATCCAAGAACTTGTGACCTTTCTGGGATAACAAGAGTAATTGTGATCCAATTGATTTTTCTGCCGATATGTTAAATTTTTTTAAGGTTTGAATGCATGATTAATTTGAAAAATTAGTATTTATTCAAGTCTACAATAGCAATATATAACTTGATTAATTATTTATTCCAAACTTATATCAGTAATTGTATCCACTGGTAATTGCTGAAATAGATGTTTTTTCAGCACAGTATTTTCCTAATTTCTGTTATACTTCTACTTAAAAAAAGTTTTAGTAATAAATAAAGAAATTAAATTTCACTTAAAAAAGAAATTATTGTCTGAAATGGATTTTCGGGTTTTGCTTAACCTTTCTGAATATCTTTTAAAAGAAAATAAACATCCGGAGGACTACTTCTTTGTATTCCTACATTCCTTTCACTCCTTTTCTTTAAGTATTTTATCGGAGCACATGAATCTATTCGAGATAATCCGAGAAGTTATAAATTAATTACAAGAAATTGACAATGCCAAATGACAGTGTCTGATCTCAGTCAGCTAACATGAAACTTTTTTCCTTCATTAACCGAATTAAATCCTAATGAGATGAAGATTATTTGTTGTATAAAACGAGATGCTGTTTAAATATTGATTTCGGTTTATTAAATTTTATTTAATAAAATTAATTGTTTGCAGTAAAAGACAAAGAAGGTTTAATATACCTCAAAATTCCGTGAGAAAAAAACATTATCGGGGTCAATTATAATAATAATAAATAAACGATAATAATAATAATAGATAAATAAATAAATAAATAAATAATATAACAATAACAAATGATAATAAATTATAATATTTACAATGATAAAATATCGCAAATAATAATTTTTTATAAATGTTGATAATATTACTATCAGTTACAGTGTTGACAATCATGAATTCGCTTTTATGATTAGAAATTTTAGAGTTGCAAATTAGCTTTTGCCATTTGAATGACTATTTTCTTGAAATCTTTCTCTATTACTTATATTTTAATTCGCTCATTTATAATCAAATTTTGAGTGCTTTCGGGAAATTCTTTGCCATCTTTCGATGATTACCTTTTGTCGAAAGCGATCGATGTTCCACTTCAAATTCCACTCTTTTTATTCTTTCCCTTTCTATAGTTTAACAAAGCAAAACCTACTTATCATCATCCATCAATTATATTCAAATACCTAATATTTCATCCTGAAAATTCGGACATTTATTGCGCCATATGCTTTGCATGTTACAGTCGTTGTCACCCTAAGGCATTAGTTCACAGTGTTGCATCCATCCAATCATTATTTTTGTTCCATTTTTCCGTTTTTCTCTCTTCTTTGTGACATTATAAAGGATGAAATTCACTAAAATTTATACCAAAGTTGCTTTTGGAATAAATAGTACGACAGTTAATTATTTATATTTCCTTAATATATCATGAGAAAATGATGACAATGATGATAATGATGATGATGATAATGATAACTGTAGTGGTAATGCTGATGACGATGGTAACGATAATCAAAATGAATATATATACGTACGCGTTCGATAATTGAAAGGAAAAGAGGGCAAATATCGGAAAAGGAGATTTCCCGGAACCTTCTGTTTTCCTATTATCCACCATAAATCTCCTTCTCTACCAAATTCATCGATTATATTTCCTTTCTTCATTAAATCTGGACGTCATGTATTTTCACTTATATATATAATGTATTCACATATACACGCACACACACATACGCACACACACGCATGTGCACACGTGTACAGACACACATAAATACCTGTCTGTCACTAGAAATGTCAACCGTATTTATCACAACTTGAATAGATTTTGGGACGAAAAAGATTTCATGTTGGCGTGTGTTATCAGTTAGAATAGATTTTGCTTTCATTGAACTTTATCAGAGCGAAATATTATTATTATTATTATTATTATAACAATGTCATAATTATAAAATTCCTTTTTCATTATATTTTTATCACCAAATTAATATTTAATTGATATTTTTGAATTTGATGATTTACTTTTTCTTCTGTTTCATTTATTTGTTTGGTGATAATTTGAAATAATTATGATATTGCAAAAGGGCTGGCAACATATTGTCATTTTTAAGAATCATTTATGATTACTCATTCAATCAAATCCTTAAGAGAGAAACTTGAAAGAAATGAAAAAAAAAATGTAAAATTTTGAGATAAATTATTGTTAGGAATATATGCGAATAGAAGGTTAGAAATTTTGGTAATAAATTAGAAAACTGATTAGATTAAATATTAAAGTTTACTAGCTGGCAACATATTATCGTTCTTGAAAATCACTCAATGCTTAAAAAAAATGAATTTTATATTAATATTTTATGATAATGCAGAAATTGAAGTGTTAAAAGATAAGAATTTCAAAATTCAAATCTTATTTTTTTAATTTCGTAATTTCGGAATTGAAATTATTCTTTTAACTTTTCCTTGGAATTTTTGAACGATAAGAAATAAGTTAAAAAGGGAAGAAAAAACAAAGAGAAAGCGGAAGAAAGAAAAAGAAAAGAAGAAATTGTTCTACCACATGTGATGATATATCGTAACGTTTTATTGTTCACCTGTTGGACACTAATCTATGGACAACCGTTACCTGCGCCACCTGGAATTGATGTTGGTGCATTAACTGATCAAGCACGACAATTCATTGATCGTATGTTTATTTATTTCTTTCTTTTCTTACTTTGATTTAGCATTTTGGCGAATATTTAACAAATAGAATTTGCTCATCGGTAAATTGAATAATCCTTCAAATGGTTTATTTTTGTTTATTTTTTTTAATACAGGGAAGTAAATATTGCAAAACAAGAAGACTTTCTCTATATTTATCATTTGTATCAAAAGTCGTAAACAAAATAGTAAATAATGAATTTATAAATACTATTCATAAATTTCAAGGAATGATTAAAAGTAAATATAGTCTAGTAATGATTAAGTATTTACTTAATTTATTCATGATTTTCTTGTTATTCGCATAATCTGAGTTATTTTGTTGACTCATGTTATTCTTATTAATGTTAATTATTAATGTAATTAACTTAACTGTCACTACCTAACTAATAGCAATAATACTCTTATTTATTTTAATTTTATAATTAATGATTATAAATTGTAATAGCAGCAGGTAATTTTGGGAAAAGAGAGAATGTTTTATAGCATTATTCATTACGTTATGCTTTCGAAATACAAGAAAATTCCATCTGTCTATTAGCAAAGAAATTTCATAAAATTCAATTATCTGTTTTTTTGAGAAAACATTCCAATGATAGCATATGTTGAAATTAATTAAAGTATAATTAAAAATTTCCTTTATCTCTTCCACCTGTAAATTTACTATTTTAACCTAATTTACGCTTTAAATAAATTAAGTATTCCACAACAATTACTGCTTGAATCATTCTATTTGCATACTTTTGATATTTGCAATATCCTTGTCACCATATTGCCTCACACATATGTTAAATTAAATATTTATTACTTCTGAAGAGCGCTATAAAACTTCTGCAAACTCTCTTAATTAAAGACTGTCAGGAATACTTTATATTTGATAAATGAATTAAATGTAATGGAAAATAAATAATAATAATAGCAATTAATATTTGTTTCCTTTCCTTTCAGATTATATCTTAAATTCGGGAAAAAATGAAATTTATTAGAAAATATGTAACATTCAATGTTATTGAAAATAAATTCGATGATAGCGAAAATTTGATAAAAAAATAAAATAATCAATTACTTCCACTCAATTGATTTCATTAATTTATCAATTAACTGTTAATCATTGGTGTTAACAATATCATTGTGCCGTTTCTGAAATACTGAAATTAAATGGAACTGAAATTAATTGAAATAAATATGAACAAAAGAAAATATCATCCATTATTTGCAAATTATTTTTTTAAAATGATATTGTCGGAGGAAATTCAAATATTGAATATATCATTGAATATATATTGTTGTATAATATTTTATAAATATATAAGTGGAAAAAGAAAAGAGAGAATATCATTTTCACATTTATATTTATTTCCGACTAATTCATAGAAAATTTTATTAATTTTAGTCTATGGAATCGCTGCGCAATTGATGAATTTTGGTGGTTCAATCATTAATAGTGCAAAGAACGTTTACGATTCAGCCGGGTTATTTCAATTATTTTTATTATATTTAGCATTTAATCTCATTAAAATCACAAACACATTACGAAATGTTAGTTAATAAACAAGATTTTAATTAATTAAAGTTGAGAAAAACTATCATTGATCAGATAGATAATATTGAATATAATTGATTAGATTAATATTGTTGGTGATAAGTGAAGCAATGTACAAATATTGCAAAATTTTTTATTTTTGTTTTTGGAGAAATTTGATTTGTGGGAAAGTTTTGTATTAATACAGTCGAATGAATATTTGATTAAGGTTGATTTTCTTAAGGAGAATTGAATAATTATCAGATGTTATCAGTGATAGAATCAATCATCTTTGTTGTTCTTTATTTCTGATTTTAGAAAATATAGTTTGGGATTGTTTATTGAGGTAGTAGTGCAGAAGGGACTCGTTTAAAAATAGCTGATAGCAAATGTAGTATGACACTGAACACGAGATCGTTCTTATTCATCTCTATAATATGACGACAATATTACAAAAGTAGAAGTAGAAGTCAAATCCAGTGAAATGCTCGAGCGTTCATTTATTTATTGTTATTAAGGCATTAAAAATCAAAGCGGATAATACTTTCAAAGTATGATAAACAAGGAGTTATCAGATGTTATTCCAGATTTTTAGGTGAGATTAAAATACTATTTCTAAATCCGGTAATTTATCATATGAATCATAAATTTAGTTAATTAGGTACAATTTTCGCAAACGCAGCTATTAATCATTTAATTAACATTATTTGCGACGAATAATTTTTTTAATATAAATTTTTATCAACACTTTGATAATTTTAAGATTTTCATATCAAGATTATTTCGGTTTTCGGGCAACAAATGGTAAGGTTATATTCGGCTAAAGGTCATACCCAATCCCAAATAATAGTTTAAAGGTCATATGTAACTCTAAATAATAGTTTAAATGTATATCTAAATTTATTTTACCTTGATCATTGTAATCATCAACTGACAAAGTGGATATTATCATTCATTTATTTATTTTTTCTTAGAATAATATTTTTGATAACTTGAAGATATGATGCTTCTAGCTTATCAAGAAATAGTGTATTCGGTGATTCCGTTCGTCCATGGTTTCCTGGTGATAGAACAAACTCGAAAATTGGCAATATATACGGTTCACTGCCAACTGCTGAATTTGGTGATCGGGTATATGGTAACGATTACGGTTCAATGCACCCGATAAAAAGGAGTGGAATTGAAACATTGCTGAATACTTTCTTAGGTTTGTTACTGCAAACTACAGTATTCTATTAAACTTATCATTCAGATTAAGTTGCATGTGAATAAAGACTAATTGGTTAAGTTGAAAAAAAATTAAAAAACTTAGTAGGATGATTTTATTTTATTAAAAATTTCACAATGTCACAGAACAGTATTGGAGAATTTCTTTCATTATATTGCAGGGCCATCATTTCTTGGACAAACAACTTTACCACCACCAATGAATTTAGCCAATTTGTTTAAACCAGATTACCATCAGAGTGAAAACTATCATGCTACCGGAGGTTCAAATATCGATCGGTTGATTAATCAATTGAGGCGAAGTGGCGCTCAAAGAGCAACACCTAATCCCGAGAGTTCACCAAATTTACTTCAAACTATTTTCGGGGGAAAACGATAAAAATTTTTACAAAATACTTATTCATAGGATAACTTAATGTTATATTTTGTCAAATAGTTTTCTAATTGCAGAAGCTGAAATTGCCACCGTATTTTAAAATGTAAATAACTTAAAATATAAATAAAAAATTACCACCACTGAATATTTTATTCGCCGAAATGGGATGTCACTGTATCCCGTTGTATCAAGGATGTTTACCGCACTGATTTTCAATAAATTAATAACTCATTGATAACAATTATTCTATGATTTAATTTTACTCCCAATATATTTTTTTGTTGATAATATTATCATTTTTGCATCAAAGGAAAGTGTGTGTACTTTAAGAAATGGGTGGTAAATAGGAAATAGAAGAAATAATTATGAAAAAAAGTAACTAAGTTAGTGGAGAATCGAAAATAATATCAGCAAAACGTAATGAAAGGTTAACAATAATTAGCAAATAGGAAAATAAGAAATGAATGATAAATAAGTGTAGTAAATAAGCAACAAATAAGAAATGAGTGGTAAATAAGTGACAAGAAATTAATAACAAGTAAGTAAATAAAAGTGGCAAGTAAGAAATGGATGATAAATGAGAAATAAGTGACAATTAAATAAATATATAACAAATGGATGATAGGTAGTAGATGATGAACAAATGGATGATAGGTAGTAGATGATAAAGAACTGATGGCAAGTATTACTAAGAAATAAATAACCAATGAGAAATGAAAAACAAATAGATAGTAAGTGACAAATGAGAAATGAGTGGCAAATAAATGATAAGTAACTTAATGGATAATAAGTAACAGATGAGAAATAATTGATAAATAGATAATAAAAGACTAATAAATAAAGAAGTGAGAAATAAATAGATAATAAGTATTAAGTAAAAAATGAAAAATGCATAACAAATGAATAATATGTAAGGAATAAGAAATAAATAAGAATCTGATAATAAGTAACAAATAATAAATATTTATACACAAATAATAAATAACGAGTAAGAAATAAATGGTAAGTAAACAATGAATAGCAAATTGTTGATAAATATTAATAACAACAAACAAATAAATATAAATGAATATCTGATTTTGTAATATTTATGCCTATGCATATGTGTTCGTTTACTTATATCTTTGCAAAATAATTAGCATATTGTTTGTTTAGATAGCAATTTCAGTACGAAAAATTAATCTATCCATAATTTCAAGCGAAAAGACGTAAATGCATTTTCTCATTTCTTCTTATTCGTTTTTCAAACTTGAAATTGAATAAATTGAAAATTTGTTTTACCGTTAACAATGAAAGATTTCGCTTTCTTCCCAAGGCCATTAATACCATTTAAAACGTTAAAAGTAATTTCACAAAATGAAAATTGTAGAAATGTGATTGATTAATTTACAATGAATCGTTCTTCTTTTACGACAGATATGAAAAAAGAAGGGAAAAAGATAATTTCACTTTTTTCTTTTTTTCTTTCTCTCTCTTTCTCTTTTATTTCAAAATTTTTTTATATAATAATATTTTAGTACTGTGAAGAAAATAATTTAGCTTTATCACTAACCAATCAACTAAATATTATATTTCAATTATTGTTTGATAATTTAGTCTTATCATTTATCTGCTTACGATTGAAACTTAATTTCAAAAATTATGTCTGTAAGCTTGATTGCAAGCTAAACAGCATCCCGCATAATAATATATTTTACTATTGTGGATATACGTATTTTATGTAATCTTACCGGTAGTAGCGGAATATCAGTCAAATTTAATTTTAATTTCCTGTCCTTGGCTAATGTCCTTTAGTATTAATATACATGTGTATGTGTAGTGACCAAAAATTATTTGGAATGACTCATCATCCTTTTCACTAAAATTAGCTCCATACTCATTGCACTGCGATACTTTTTAATTAAACCAATTAGGCTTTTTATCATAGCATTTCTAATCAGGCTCTTTTTTTATGATCAGTAATGAGCAGATTTGCTGATTTTCATCGTACTTATTTTACTGATAAAGTTCTGAGAAAATCGTTTAGTAACATTTTAATTTTTTTCTATATCCCACAAGAATTTCGATCTAGCAAAAATAGTACCAAATATCAATTAATCAACAATCTTCATTTTGTTACAATAAAGTTTAAGGTTGCATAAAGGAATTTAGGATATTGAATTGTTTCCCAATATTGACGATTGATTAATTTCATTCGATGCTAAATTTGGAAATAAAAATTCCAGCATTGCAAGTGAACGTAATTTTATCATTAAAATAAAATAGTCCTTATGCATTTTTAAAATTTATAAATGTTGCAGATAATAAAGATAACATTTTGATATAGCAAATTTAGAACGATCATTGTAAGCTATGAAAAGTAGAAAATTGTAAGCCCAGTAACATTTGCACCTGTGCACGCAGAAACGCAAATATAAGCGATGCACTTTGTAAAATGCATGCATTGCAGATTTCTTGTAATTTTCATATGGATATATTTAATTCGTAGGTTATAAAAATTCTTAAAATATTACAGCAGTTAAAAATGTGTTAGATAAAAATAATGCAAATAGGTAATATGAGATCGATCTTAGTAGGAATAAATTGTAGGATAATGCTATGCGCTAGATGATTTTCATGGAATTTTATAAAATATAAATTGAAATTTAATAAATTTAGAATTTAAAATACTTCTATTAGTCATCAATTTCTTTTCCTTCTACCACTTTGTAAAATTTAATTGTATTTTGCTATAGAAACAATGATTCATTCCATTTTAGTGTATTTTTGCTATTTTGAAATGAAACAGTTGTGTTGTTTTTCTTTTTTATAAATTTTATTACTAATACAATAATTGATATAGCATTTGACTAAACTAATTCTCATTTAAAAAGTAAAAGGAAAGCAATAGGAAGATAGAGCAGATATGATGAATAATATATGCCAAGAAGAAATATTTATATAATTCAATAAAGTATGCATATTTAATTCGTAAGCATAATTGATATGATATGATATGATATGAGCACTATTTGATTGTAAGAGGAAGCGGTATTCCTAATGTGTCTTAAATGAATTTTTCATTGAACAATTTACATATTTATAAAAATATAAATTAAATTAATTAATCAAGAATTTTGAGGTAAATTTTGAATATTGCTATGTTAAGGAATTTTTTAATTTATTTCAGCTATACGATAAAACAATTGTTCAATGTTACTGTAAGAAAATAAAAAGGAAACAAATACAGTAGGAAAAAAGAGACAAATACAAAAAAATAAAAAATAGAACTGATGACAGTAATTTATAATGAAAATATTTCTCATTAAATTTTTCTATTTAAGAAAAACTTATCGAATATAATAATTCTATTCATTCATTCATTCATTTCAATTTGTTTCACATTAAAATTGAATTAAAGAAATAATAGAATTACCATTGCTAATTAAACACTTATATTAAGTACTGTTTTGATTACATCAAGTATCGTAATCTGTCTGATTGGAAGTATTTTTGTTGTTGATAACATTTACCAACTTTTACTATATCTATATAATATATTGATACATATATTTTTGGTATATAAAGAATATTTTGCTATTAAGTACATAGTTAGAATTTTAATATAATAGGCAGCGGTATCAATACCAGCAATACGGTTATTACAGAATGCTATTGATTTTAGGTTTCATAGAATATATATATATATATATCTTCTGTAATATCGTAATATCTATTATTCGAAATATTGATTTTGTTAGCTTAAATTAAGTTTGTCATTTTAAGTCAATAATTTCAGTTACATCAAAGAAATGTTGATTGTTTAATGTAAAATGAATCGAACAATTTTAAGACATCAAATAAGACAATAGTAATTGTTTTTATAGCCCAATTAGCAATAATATAATTATTCAAATATCAATTATGTACGAATTATTGCCGAAGAAAAAAAATTTCATTAATTTTTAAATCCAATTTAAAAAGTAAGAGTTTAACTTTTAAATGATTGTTTTCCAATTTTTTTGAAACTTTTTTTATTTTAACATTTAACATTTCGACGAAGCATACATATATAACATTACAATACTATAATAATAATAATAATAATAATAGTAATAATATTTCATTTTAAGAATTTCAAATTTACAATTTCTTTTTTAGGGTTCATTCAATGCTGTCAAAATATATCATAAAATGTGGCAGTGAAAATTCTTTTAATTAGAAAGGCATAATTATTATCAGTAAGAGAATGAACAAAAATATATAATCCATATTCATTCATAGAACATAAAGGCAGTGATTTTTTTTTCGTTTTTCGTGTTATGATACCATCATATCAGATGTTGAAAAGATCATATGTTATCAATGTTGCAGGAGGATCGATGAAATTTTCTTAGAAAAAGAAAGAAAGAAAAAAAATGAATTGTAATCGAAAGATTGATTACATGAATATAATCAAAAAAAGATTACACCGATAACTTTTGCAATATAATTTTTTGTTTTTTTATAAAAATGAAATGAATCATTAAGGTGGCAGCAATGTGTAATTTCTTTCATTTATCAATTGAATAAAGTGATAAAAGGTGGTAATTATTTCTTTAATTATATTAACTTTCTCTTTTTGTTTTTGTTTTTATTCTCCTTTTTGTTTTCATTTTTGCATTTATGCACATTCTTTTCCCAATTAATGTTGTTACATTTTTGTAGAAAATTTCAAATTTATCAGAGATGGAAAAAAAAATTTATGCAAAAATCTTCGGTGTAGCACATTATCAAATAGATAATTTTAATATCCAGGCGCTGTTCGTGGTGGTGGACAATGATCACATGAACCAGAAGATCCACGTTCACCTTGCGGTCCAGGTGTTCCATCGCCGCCTGGTTTACCAGGTCCTCCATCTGCTCCTGGATCACCCTGTGGTCCTGGTCGTCCATCTTGTCCGGGATTTCCTCTCGGTCCAGGTGGTCCTTGTGATCCAGGTTGACCAGGTGGTCCTACTGGACCTGGTGGACCTGGTGGTAAGGATCTTTCTGATACAGTTCCAGGTGGTCCTGGTGGTCCTTTTGGACCTGGTTGACCTGGCGCGCCACTTCGTCCTGGTTCACCTGGTGGTCCTGGTGGTCCTCTATTACCACCATCTGCATCCTTTCCTGGAGAACCAGGTCTGCCACTTGGACCCTTTGGTCCTGGATTGCCTGGTGGACCAGCTGGTGCATCCGGACAATCGAAACACCAGTCCTGTATTTCATTATATAATGATTTCTCTTATTTAAATTGTATTAATTTGGCAAAAAATTTTCGCAAAAATTCTTACAATACGTGGTTGCACAGGTGGTGTTTGAGGCGCATCTGCTCCATCTCTACCTGGTGGTCCCGGTTCACCATCTCTACCATCATTTCCATCTGGTCCAGGCTCACCCGGTGGTCCTGGTGGTGATACACCACAACCGCAGCAACCACCACCAGGTGCCGAAGGCGCCCCTCCGGCTCCACCAAAACTTGTCATAACGCCACCGCTGACTCCAGCGCCACCACGTCCGTCATTGCCCGAAAAGCTATCGTAACCGGCTTGCCTGCGGCTTCGTACTTCACCATTTACTTGTGATAGTACCTTAAAGGAATCATTTTGAGATGTTTTGTTGTCTGTTTTCATTAAATTCTTCACAATTGAAAAATAATTCATTCAACTGTCAACGTTATAAAAAACACAACAAATATATACTTCTTTAAACTTTTTAATTTTTTAAATCAAATTTCATTTAATTGTTATTTATGTCTTATTTCTAATGAATAAGAAAATATTAAATACTATTAATTGTCAAAGTTCTATTAAATGAAATTAAATTTTTAATCAGTTAAAGATTGTATTTTGAATTTCGAATGAAAAAGATGAAGAAAAGAGGAATATATGAATATACTAACTATTTTGAAAGAAATATTTCATTGAAGTCGATGATCGAATATATATATATTTCAAAGAATTTGAAATAGATTAAAATGAAATAAGAATTAACTAATAATTGTTATTGCAATAGGAATATTATTTATGGCTGGTAAGATTTGTTGTTGAAATAAACAAATCTTTTATATAATTATTATTATTAATGATAAACAATAGCAAAGTTTCAGATAAATTTATTGAAATCTATTTAATAGCGTTTATTGTTATCAGCTAATAATGACAAATGATATAATATAGAAGAAAAAATAATAAATTTCTGGTCATAGTTTAATTCAAGATATATTTGTCAACAAACACATTGGACGAATACATTTTTAATTTTGGATGAAAAATAAAATGATCATAAGTTAACATAATAATAAAACAAACTGGTTCTTTTTCGTAATTTTCGCAAAAATTTTAAGCCTTTTTGCGAATTCAATTGCTTCTTAATTATTTATTAATTTATATGAGAATAGATGAACGAAATTTCCAGCAAAATTTCTAATTAATGATGCTTATTGTTATTAATTAGCAATGGCAAACAATAAGATGCAAAAAGAAAAATAACGAAATTTCTGCACATATTTCATATTAGGTAAAGAAAGCGGGAGAGTTTTCAAATTCTTCGTTATTTTTAATTACTGCAATAAAATTTTGAATAATATCGCGAAGTGGAATTGCAACTTTTTTCCGTCTTTTTAACCAACGATAAATTTATATTGTGATTTCAATCATCTTTCTTATATACTTTTCCCAATTTTCGCAATTAAAACTTGAAATTTATATTTAATTTTTAATTTTAAATTGAAGCTCTTTAAGGAAGATATGATCAGATCTTCCTAAAAATTGATTTTAATTATATACTGCAAGACAAATTGTAATTATTATTGCAATCGAATGTGAAAAATTTATTTTCAAACAATGGGCTAACAAACAAGAAAATGTATCTACAGCTGGCAGATAAAAGTATAATCGATGATTTGAAGACAGTAAATTACTCAATGAAAAGTATTGCTCTATGAAAATACTGGAAATTTTGAATAGAAGAAGAGCAATCATTGGAATTATCCAATTAGCTTTACATCTTATCTATAGTTGTTTATCACATGATTATAAGTTTGATAAGATTATAATCACCTTTGATATGCTGAATGAAACAATGGCAGTAATTGCCAAAATATTTAACATCCATTTTGCTTGTTAGTTCTATTATCATTGATCATTAAGTCAATTCAAAAAGAATAATGACAGAAGGAGGAAACAAACTTTCATTGTTATTTCTGGTTCGAAAAGAAATGCTTTTAAAGTTAAACCGATTTAAGACAATTTATGTTTAATGCTCGAAAATAAATCATTGTTAAAATTTTAGAAAAATTTTAAGTTATTTATTTATTTACATTAGCAGGTGTTTGCTATTAGCTATTTATAAACTTTAGCTAAATCATTCTTAATGCTATCATTTTCTTTGTTTTAATTACTGAGTGATATAATTTTAGAAAGTTTGAAAATGAAAAAATTCTACACTTCCATTTTCCCAACTTTTTATACGATAGCAATAATACTTACAAGGAAGGAACTTCAATGGTACTTATGAAATTGAAATTTCCCTTGCAAGATGAAATGCTATGATATTACAAATTATTTTTATCTTTAGAAATATTCCATGTAGATTTAAAATAATTATTCAAAAAAAATCATTATTATTCTTTCACGGATTTAAATTTTAATCGTTCATTTTTTTAAGAATTCACTAATAAAAGGTATCTCAACTGTTATTATTTCTTCAATTTTCCTATTAAATTAAATTCATCTTTTCTATGCAATTTAGAAAATTCATTTTTTTTTCTCTTTTTTAAAATAAATTATTTTCAATAACGAAGAGAGAGAAAGAGAAAGAGAAAGAGAATGCCATAATGAAAATAAAATAATAAATCAGAATAGTAAAAGGTATGAAATTAGGAATAGTAATAGTGCCAATCTATAATTGTAGCAAAAAGAAATAATTTCTAATTCAAAATAAAAAAGGAAAAATAATAGAAATGAAAAAAAAATTGAGAGAAACAATTTAAGAAATAAAATATAAATTATATTTCATTAAAAATTTTATTGTAAAAAAAGAAATTTTTATTTGCGATATTATGAGAATGGAAATGTGTGATGCAATTTTACCTTGAAGAAAATGAAATATTTGGTGTAAATTGAACTTGCAAATATCTTTCTCTCTTCCTTTCTTTCTCTCTTTCTCTTTGTTTCATTACTGAATTTGTTGTTTGAGAAATATAATGAAACTTTAAATTTAATTTCAATTTCATTTCATTTTAAAATATAATACTTTAAGGGAAATAATTACTGAAAAGAAATTTTGAAATTAAATATTTAAAATATAAAATTCATAAAATTAAAAAAAAAAGCTTTTTCCGTCTAAAATAATTTAAAGAATTTTTAATTATTCAAAAAAGAAATTTGAAAAAAAGGAAAATTTTCGGTTTTTTTTCATTTTTTTTTGTTGAAAATATTAAATTAATATAAAACATTAAAATATAATTGTTAAAATGAAAGAATTCCTAAATGATTTTGCTGAAAACTTTCTTTTTCTTTTAGTTTTCTTTCAATTAATTGTGACTTTTCCATTTTTTGGAACAGGAATTTTAGACAAAAAGAAAGGAATGTTGGAATGAACCGTATTTCCTGTTTTAAAAATTTCCGGTTTCAACCAATGCAATAGAAGTAATAAATTGAGAGAGAGAGAGAGAGAGAGAAAGAAAAGGAGGAATAATAAAAGATGGAGGAAAATTTACCAATGATAATAATAATGTTGGTAATTGGTTGGTACCGTATCGCATTATATGAAACAACATAAAAATTTATCCCATTACTCAAAGAATATTTTTTCGTCTTCTTTTTCTCTCATACAAATCATCACTATGCTGGCAATAAATTTCGAATTCGAATCAGATGAAATGAACAGGATATCACAAATCTTTCTTATTTACAGCTTGAAGGTCAAAAATGAACGAAATTATTTGCAATATTAAATATTTTCATTTCTAATCGGTTATATATACTGGTAAAATTTTATTTTACTTTTTACTACCGATTTAATGATTCATATCATTTGATGATATGAAGATAGGTAAAGTTAAAGTGCAGCAATGAAGAGAAATTTAAATTTGATGGAATGAAGAGTTTGTTTGAGAAATTCGATTACAATCATATGGGTAGTAACGGTGAAATTAAATGTTAAAGAAATGTATGTGAGTGGGATGAGATGGAACCTTGGGAATTTATTGTATGCAAACGCATAGTTAATTTTTAATCTTATTTATTTTAATTTATAAAAAACTTCTCTATCATTTTTTTTGCTTAATTTATTATTAAATTTTAAAATTTTAATTTTTGAATATGTTTCTAATAAAATTTGCAAATTAAAATAAAAAATAAAAATTTTTTTAAATCATTTATTTTAATAGATTTTTTTTATTTCTTTTGTTTCTTAAATTATAAAAATTCATTTAAATTAAGAAAAATGGGGTTCTTATCTTTTCTTTTTCATTTCTCATCTATTACTATCAAATATCATAATTTTTTCAAATCATTATTTATTCAATATTTTTTATCAAAGAAGAAAAAGCTTAATTAATGATAATTAATCAGACTAACCTGTGTTCGGGTCACTTCACGCCAAATATTACTCGAGCGTGATTTGCAAAAATCTACTTCATTTTGCATAACAGATTGTATATGTTGCAAATAATTGTAGAACATTGGTACGGAAAGTGCGCATATAAATGAAGCAATGGTTGATAATGCTACACCATAAAATGCAACCCTTCGTAAATTTTCTGCTTCTTGTTGCCTTTTTTTATAATTTGACGCATCATCGTCGTGGTGAGGCCTCATCACTATAAACTTCTCTTTTCATTTCTCTCTTTTATTGCAACAAATATTTCAATTAAATTTAATTAAAAAATAAAACGACATAATATTGTATCATTTATACGTATCATTCATTCATTTATCGAATACTTTTAACAATAACAATCATAAACATTAAATTGTAATTTCATTAAAAGCAAATAAGCAATATTGCATTAAATGATATATACTACAGATTAATATCTATTATAAATTCATATTCATGATCAAAAGATATATATATATATATATGAGATTGCGAATAGAATTTATGCAGTGATAATTAATATATAATGATCATGACATTTATCCTGTTCTCAAAGATATTTAAAGAATTGTGTATAATTTTTAGTGACATATCAGATATCAGTGATGAAATTTAAATGGAGTAATTTAGATTTTTCTAATTTGCATTCCGTCACAGAAAAAAAAAGATGAAAATTACGATGAAATTGTAAATTGAATAAATGAATATTTTCTATTGATATTGAAAAAAGAGAGAAAAATCAAATTTTTATTTTATTAAATTATTTTGAGATATGAAATTGGAGATGAGATGAGAAGTAATTGACAGTTTCATTCCTATCTTTCAGACAATTTAATGAAGTAAAATTTTAAACAACTATAATTTTGAAAAGAATTTGAAAAAAGAAAACGAAATTCTTCAAACCATTTAAAATTGCTTAGGACAAAAAGTTCACAGTTTGCTGAAATGTAATGAAACGGTAAAGCAGAATGAGTCGCATCATCATGACACTTTTCCATTTTCGTCCAACCTTTTATATTTGTATCAACGTTATGGCAGTATTGAAGATTGAAAAGGAACGGGGGGAGAGGGGAGGGAGGAAAGGCGGAAAGTTGAGAAAGATTGGAGGGAAGGGAAAGGGGAAGGTACATATGCGCCAATAGTTGGTAACACCAAATTCATCATCAATCCTTCTTGTCTACTTTTTTTCTTTTCCTCCTTCTTTGTCTTCTTCGTAAATTTTCAACATCATCTTCAACAGGTGAACCTGTTACCTTCTAATCGCTATAGAGGAAAAATAGAAGATTGGATCACTCCCACTCTTTAATACCAGCTTCTTCAACATCATCGTATCAAACAGGTACCACAATTACAACAATAACAACAACAATAACAATTCTCTACTAACTGCTGGTACTAATAATAATAGTAATAATAATAAGGAGAATAAGAATACTACTACAGCTATTACTACCATCATCATTATCATTTTTATTAAATTCCTTAACTGTTACTACTACTACTAATAATAATTAATAATTAATAATTGATGATTGATAATAATAACAATATTAATAATAATACTACCACCATCATCATTCTTCTTTAAACTCTCCTTCAATTCTCATTTTACTAAACATTTCTTTTTTTCATTTTTTTATCAAACTTTTTAATGAAATCAAAAAATAATGATAATAATCATTGATAATAATCATGATGATAATTCTTTTCCATTTTTGATAATTGAGAAAAACAAAAATGAGCAAAAATGAAAAGAAAAAAAGAACAAATTCTTACTTTCAAATATATTTTTTCGCTCTATTACACATTTTCTCTTCTGATAAAATATTTATTTTAGTGTGATAATAAATAGTTTTGTAATTATGACGAAATGTGTTAATTAATAAGTGAGAAGAAGAGAAAGAAAGAAAAGAAAAAGATAATGGAAAAGTTATTCGAAAGTTAAGTTTTATTTCATTTTTTATTTGTTGTTTTTAAATTGAGCAGACATGTTTACTATTACAATGTTGCTTGATAAATGGAATTGTTTTCTTCAATGCGCTAAAAGTTAGAAATGAATTTTAAAAAATTAGTAACTGAAAGAATTTTCTAAAATGGGAAAAGAGAATGAAAGAATTGCATGAAAAATGTTGTCAATCTGAAAATGATACCCTCCGTGTTTTGCAATTATTTCAAAACATAAATTCAATTCTATCCATTCTTTCTTTAATTTAATTTATAAAAACAAATGAAATGAAAAAGGAAAACAAAAAAAGTGCTAGTACTATATTTTATTTTGAAAGAAGCAAATGATATTTTAATAACAGAGAGATAAGAAAAGATATCAAAAGTAAAATATTAAAATTATTAATTAGAAAGAAATTGATAATGCTAATTTCAATTTGCAACAATATAGCTTGCAGATATTTCATTAGCATTGAAATTGGCTATTCTATTTTTCGGTGAACAACTATTTGTATTTGCTCATTTCATTCTTTTATTCAAATTATGACATCGTACTGCATATAATTTATTATTCCTGAAAGAATATGATAAATGTCCGTGATAATGTGATAATGTGATAATAAAGCAAAATAGCAGATATTTTTAAGCAAATTAATTATTAATTAAAATAACAGGTATTTTCATGGGTTTGTTTCTTTTAAATTTGATAAAAGCTAAATGAACTGGAAAAAGCGCAATTTGTTTTTGAGAAATACTTCCGCTACAATCTACAATATTATTATCGCTTTTATTATTAGCTATATAAATCAAACAAATTTAACAATTTTCACCTTTGCAATCTTCAAAAAAACAAAGCATAATTATAATATAAATTAGGTGGCTTGAATAAAGAAACAAATAAATAAAAATAACAAATTGATACAATAAAATCGAATATTTTGTAGTACATTTATTAGAAATCTGTCATTTTCATATATTTAATGAAAATTTAAAAATGATTTTGATAACAATAAAATTAACAATTAATACTAATAACTAATATTGATTATATTAATACAAATAAAGTTCACATGCTAAAATAAGTGTTATTATGATTGTTGTTAGATTGAACATTATCATATTGCATTAAAATTTATAACAAAATTTACAATTAGAAGTATTCAATACAAAATGAATAATTAATAATAAATTATAAAAATGATATTTTCATTAATCAAATAAAATTTTTAATTTGTTTTTATTATGCATTTTAGTAATAAATAAAATTTAAATTTATTTGTTGTCCATTACATTGCACGTGCTGAATATAATATAACTAATTTATTTATAAAATGATATTCAAATATTGTAAAGTAATTTTTTCACAATGGAAAACTTTTCAATTCGCAAAAATGTATAACCATAATTTAATTTAAAATTCATTTCAAAATTTTTTAAATAAATTGAAATAAAATTTTTGAGTATAAATATTTCCTATTGCATTCAATAAAAAGTTCTTAGAAAAATTAAAAATGAAAAAGGAAAAAATTAATGATAGGATTGATCGTAAAATAAAAGCTTTCTTAATTCACATCTTCGATAAATTTGAAGAAAAAAGATTCCCGTTGTAGTTTGATATTTTCATAAGTAATTTTTGCAAAATCTTGTAGAACTAATAAAATGCCTACCTGCGAAGAAAATAGAAAATAATTGGGCATATCAATTAATTTTATAATTAACCTTAGCTAACTAATTTTGGGAATATTATTAATCATATTATATTTATTAGTAATATTATAAATGTCTTTGATGATATGACTACTGCAATAATTTAATCCGATAGAGTATCAAATGAGATTGATGCTATGGGACTAATTTGAGAGAAACAAAAATATAAACCGGAATTAAACGAACACTTGTAGTCAATAATTAAATTGATTGATCAAATTGTAAAGTAAATCTGATAACTTGTAGGATCAGGTTTAATCAGCAGATTGTGATAGATGTCTCTGATAATATTAAGCTAATTTCTTAAAGAAAAAAAAATTTCTACTTCACGCTTTATCAAAGGGTAAAAGGTTATTAATTAAAGATGAAAGTAATCAGAAGAAAATTGGATAGAATAAAATTGACAGATAAAAAAAGAGATAGGAATGATAATGAATGTATCAATTGATATGGGTTTAATATCAATAATGAGAAATAATTGCAATCAATGATAAATGAAATGAATGAGAAACCTTAATCTTTCATCATTTCACAATAAATACATTTGTTTCTTCAATTTCTATTTCTATATAACTATTTCTTCTGTGTAATGAAAGATTCAATTGGAAATAATCAATGTTGACAGAATCTAACATTTAACAATTTATTATCTTTCCTTCTTTTTTTTCATATAAAAATTCTTACATAAAAATGATTTCATCCATAATATAATCGATCACTTTTCATTTAAGCTAAATTTTCTAATAAAGAAAAAATACTTTTATTTCTTGCAATTTATCAAAACTGGATTTATAGAGATATTTTATCGAATACTGCGATAATAACATAATTAAGGTTTATTTTAATAATAGATATATATGTAATGATCTGATTATCTATATTATACTTTATATCCACAGTAATAACAAGATTATAGGAAATGAATCAATAATTAAATAAGAATTGATTATAATTTAATTCCTTTCATTTCTTCTTTTGTTTTCTTATATTTAAACTAAAATACTAAAATTTTATTTTATTTATATTTTTCATTAAATAAATTTAAAACTTCTTTTTTTAAACAAATAAAAAGAGGGAAAAAAAAAGGTGCACCAATTTTAATAAACATTCATTAAGATGTTATGTGAAAATTTTCGTTCCAGCAATACGTCCGTCAAATAACAAACCATTCCGTTGCACCGTAAATTTATCATTTATCTGTCACAGCGAATTACAAATTAAGTTTTCTTTTCATTAAAATTCTTTGATCAACAAAATCTATTCATTTTTTAAATTTAATATTATTTAAAATTAAAAATTAATACATTCTGATAAATAATGCTATTCAACAAAAATGAAATTTGTTCATTTCATTTATTCAAATTATTGCTAAAATTTAATTAATGAACACATTTATGCTTCTAATTGTTTCATTTAATTTAAATTTTATTAATTATTATATAAAAAGGTAAAAATTATTAATTTATTTTATATACTAAAATTGTTATTATATTTTTTAAAAAATAATTATAATTTAAAAATTAAATTTTTGTCTTCAAAAATTATAGAAATGCAATAAAGCGATTAA